GACCAACGTTTGCCCATGCCTGAATTAAAGTATTCAGGTGGTCTGGCACAGCATCTCCTATCTCTCATTCCAAATTGTCATGTGAGTTGTGGCCCCATCTATACTGCTATATCATGAAATTTCAAAGTGCATTATATGGACAGTGAACATATAATGCCATTCAATGTAGTTAAACTGGACCTAAATTATCCAGCTTGAGCATGTGGGGGAAAAAATAGCAGCCCAAGATTTTCCAGATCTTTTAAAAGCATCATTCAACCTTTGGGTTGCTCATTTGTTGCCATATGACCCTGACATAATGTTTTATGTAGACGTTAGCTCTCTTCTTCTACTCAAGGTTTAAAGATAAGAGGCTCATCAATTATGTATTTCCTTCACTGCTTTGTCATCGCAGATTTGCGACAACCACGTTCCTTTATTTTTTGCTTTCAAAAAGAATTGAACCAAAGCAGAAATATTAGCATAGCTTTAACATTAGTTACTAGGTTTGCAATGAATTAAGAACCTAATAAAGTGAGGACATTGAGAAATCAAGGTATTTATATACTGAGAGATTTTTAAAGGATGTGTAGAGCTAATGACAAGCCAAAAAGTCAAGGAGGAAAGGTAAAAATGGTATCTTATCTTGAGCATATATTCAAGCAAAACATCTATCTTAATACATATTAATGTATTCTGATAAAATATATGAATAATCACCACTCTTGGTTAACTATTTTGTACACACACAGGATACAGCACAAATGATATCTGGCGTGAAGAGTAACTTTATGATTTATGGAATTAATTTCAACAGCCGTTTCATACTGAAACTTTCAGGGGAATAATTTGGAAATCTTTGTTCAAATGTCTCATCAGCTTCTGTTTCAGTTGAACTAGTGAAAAGGATAGCGCTCATTTGATCTGGCCTGGTGCCGTTCCATTAGCACATTATAGACTGAGCTTTTAGTGTAATATCCTATGACCGTTTCTAATAATAACGATATATCCACAGAACTATGTTGAGCCAAACCTCAATTTTCTTTCAAATCAATGAATCCTTCTAACTTCAGAGCTCCATGCACCATTGAATTCAACAAAGTGTAATGTGATGGGTACAAAACCTAGAAAGATTTCCCAAATCAGGTTGCTGTGCACTTTCTGGGCTGTATGGTTATGTTCCAGAAGCATTCTCTCCTGACACTTCACCTGCATCTATGGCAAGCATCCTCAGAGGTTGTGAGTTCTGTTGGAAACTAGGCAAGTGAGGTTTATGTCTCCGTGGAATGTCCAGGCTGGGAGAAAGAGCTCTTGTCTGCTGGAGGCAAGTGTGAATGTTGCAATTGGCCATCTAGATTAGCACTGAATGGCCTTGCAGCTTCTAAACCTGACTGCTTCCTGCCTAATATGGTTTATATATCTTCCTTCCATGCAAGCTTGTAGCCAAAGGGGGGGGGGATGAGGGGCTTCAGCACCCCCCCCCCCGAAATTCTCAGGGTGGTCCGCAAGATGGCCTTACTGTTATGTTTACTCATATCATGATCTGATCACCATGCTCAATATATCCCATATGCATGAGGGTATTGGGATAACGATACAAAAGGTTTGTTAGGGTAGATCCTCAGCCACCCCCCCCCCTTTTAATCAAACTCAGCACCCCCTGAATCAAAGTCCTGGCTATGGGCCTGCTTCCATGGATATATAAACCCCACTTGCCTAGTTTCCAACAGACCTCACAACCTCTGAGGATTCCTGGCATAGATGTGGGCGAAACATCAAGAGAGAATGCTTCTAGAACATGGCCACACAGCTTGGAAAACCCAAAACAACCCAATGATTCTGGCCGTGAAAGCCTTCAACAACACATTTCCCGAACTGTGAATGAAGACAATTAGTTTTTATTTCTGAGTATGCTTGGACAAGACTGCATAGAACACTGTAAGTTTGGGGAACATTTCTAATTTGCTTTGTACAGAAACTTGCCAGACTTTAGTGATGTTTTAAAGCCACATCTAAAGCAACATGAGAAAGGGGGTGAGAGGGAGGAAAATGGGTTCATGTTATTTCTTATGTGGCCACTTTAAAGAAATAATGGGTTGCCCAAAAGACAGGATACTGTGACCCAAAACCAAAAGGACTCAAATATGAAGATGACAATAATGATATTAGTAGTAGTAGTAGTAGTAGTAGTAGTAGTAGTAGTAGTAGTATCTTTTGGTGCATCTATACTGTAGAATTCGTGCAATTTTCCGCCACTTTAACTGCCATGGCTCAGTGGTAGCAGGGCTGGACTGGGTCTAAAAATATTGGTTGCCAGGAGATAAAGGGGCCCCACCCACAACTCTAATGCTTTCCCTCCTTTCTGTTGACACTTTCAATAGAAAGGAGGAAACCATGTAATCATTAAAATGAACAAAATCTGCCTACCAGTATTAAGAAAAACTCCAAAAACAGTAAATAAAGAGCAACACTCAAAAAATAGGGAAATTCCAGACAGGAAGCAATCAGGGCCAGCTAACACCTCCCAACAAAGGATACCCCTAGACAGGAAGCAGACAGGCTTTGAATCTGCAAGTCCATTCAGTACTAATCAAAGTGGCCAATTGCAACATTCACACTTGCCTCAAACAGACAAGACTTCTTTCTCCCACCCGGGAAATTCCACAGATATATAAACCCCACTTGCCTAGTTTCCTACAAACTTCATAATCTCTGAGGATGCCTGCCATAGATGTGGGCAAAACGTCAGGAGAGAATGGCTGTACAGCCTGGAAAACTCACAGCAACCCAGTGATTCCAGCTATGAAAATCTTTGACAATATATTAACATTTTGACATATTGTCTAATGTTTAAGGGGGTCCCCTTGCCATCAGGCAAGTGGGCATCCTGGCCAATCTGCCACTGAGTTATAGTTTTATAAGGTCTTTAGCCTTCTCTATTTAGGAGTGCTGGTGTGTCCCACCAATCCACAACTCCCATGAGCCATATCACTGAGCCATGGAAGTGAAAGTGGTGTCAAACTGCATTAATTCCATAGTTTACCTTAAACAATATATTAGCATTTTTGACACATTGTCTAATATTAAGTGGGCCCACTTGCCATTGGGCAAGCAGACATCCCAGCCAGTCTGCCACTAGGTTATAGTTTTATAAGGTATTTAGCCTTCTCTGCCAAAGAGTGCTGGTGTGCCCAACCAAACTTCAACTCCAAGGAGCCATGGCATTGAGCTATGGCAGTGAAACAGCACTAATTCCACAATGTAGATGCAATTATAAATGCTCACCACTATCATCATCACATCTGAGTCCTTTAGTGTAGGATCACAGCACCCCCTCTTCTGATGCTGGTGTCCTACCAAACTACAATTCCCAGGAGCCATAGCATTCAGCCATGGCAGTGAAAGTGGTGTCAAACAGCAGTAATTCAACACTGTAGATGCAACCGAAGGTGCTCATCATCATCATCATCATCATCATCATCACATCTGGGTTCTTTCCTGTTATAGGATCCCACACTTCTCAAATGGGCCACATGGGACATAGCATGGACCTTGTTATTGCTGTGATAGCAAGATCGAGGTGCTGATTCATACAGGATGTATTGTCAAAGGCTTTCATGGCTGAAATCATTGGGTTGTTGTGAGTTTTCCAGGCTGTATGGCCATGTTCCAGAAGCATTCTCTCCTGAAGTTTCACCTGCATCTATGGCAGGCATCCTCAGAGGTTGAGGGTTCTGTTGGAAACTAAGCAAGTGAGGATTATATATCTGGGGAATGCCCAGGGTGGGGGGAAGAACTCGTGTCTGTTGGAGGCAAGTGTGAATGTTTCATTTAGCCACTTTGATTAGCATTGAATGCCCTTGCAGGTTCAAAACCTGTCTGCTTCCTGCCTGGGGGAATCCTTTGTTGGGAGGTGTTAGCTGGCCCTGAGTTTCTTGTCTGGATTTCCCTTTTTTCTGAGTGTTGCTCTTTCTTTACTGTTTCTTGGGTGGGAGAAAGAACTCTTGTTTTGTTTGAGGCAAGTGTGAATGTTACAATTGGCCACTTCTATTAGCATTTAATGGCTTTGCAGATTCAAAGCCTGCTTGCTCCCTGCCTGGGGGAATCCTTTGTTGGGAGGTGTTAGCTGGCCCTGATTGTTTCTTGTCTGGATTTCCCTTTTTTCTGAGTGTTGCTCTTTCTTTACTGTTTCCTGGGTGGGAGAAAGAACTCTTGTTTTGTTTGAGGCAAGTGTGAATGTTACAATTGGCCACTTCTATTAGCATTTAATGGCTTTGCAGATTCAAAGCCTGCTTGCTCCCTGCCTGGGGGAATCCTTTGTTGGGAGGTGTTAGCTGGCCCTGATTGTTTCTTGTCTGGATTTCCCTTTTTTCTGAGTGTTGCTCTTTCTTTACTGTTTCCTGGGTGGGAGAAAGAACTCTTGTTTTGTTTGAGGCAAGTGTGAATGTTACAATTGGCCACTTCTATTAGCATTTAATGGCTTTGCAGATTCAAAGCCTGCTTGCTCCCTGCCTAGGGGAATCCTTTGTTGGGAGGTGTTAGCTGGCCTTGATTGTTTCTTGTCTGGAATTCCCCTTTTTCTGAGTGTTGCTCTTTATTTACTGTTTCCTGGGTGGGAGAAAGAACTCTTCTCTGTTTGAGGTAGGCGTAAATGTTTCAATGGGCCACCTTGATTAGCATTTAATGGCCTTGCCACTTCAAAACCTGGCTGCTTCCTGCCTAATATGGTTTATATATATTTATATAAAAAGCATACCTAGGGACATTCCACAGATATATAAACCCCACTTTCCTAGTTTCCAACAAACCTCACAACCTCTGAAGATGCCTGCCATAAATGCGGGCGAAACGTCAGGAGGGAATGCTTCTGGGACATGGCCATACAGTCCGGAAAACTCACAACAACCTCGTACAGGAATGGTTTGGAAGCTTTCCAAAAGTTATCCCGTTTTTATAAAAAGAGGCAGAGAGAGAGAAGCTCGCAAACAAGTTCGACCCTCTGTCTTGGCCTCCGAACTTACCAGCTTGGTTTTGCTGCGCTGCAGAAAATCTTCCATGTTGTTGTTGTGTCTGCTGCTTCTTGCTGGCCCTGCGGGTCCCGATCATGCAGGGCAAAGTCCCTTCGCCAGAGAGAGAGAGAGAGAGAGAGAGAGCCAGGGCGGGTCCCGCCTTCCTCTCCTCTCTTCTCCTCCTCCTCCTCCTCCTCCTCCTCCTGCAGCTGCCTCCCGGCGCCTTCCTGCGGCTCCCTGGGACTCTCCCTATTTAGGCAAAGTGCGACTTGGGAGAGCGAGGGGGGAGAAGCAGAGGGGGGACGGACCCGAAGGAAGACTTTCCGCGATTCCACAGGCCGGCCGAGCTCTCAGGGCCAATGGGAGCCGGGCTCGGGTGGGCTGACGTCACGCCGGCAATTGCTGCAACCATGGACAGCGCCCAAAAGTGAGGACCCAGGCAGGACGCAGAGGGCTGCAGGAGCAGCAGCAGCAGCAGTAGCAGCACAGCAGCAGAGGAAGCCTGGCTCTCTCTGGGGGCATCCCCACTGGTGAATGAGGGCCCTTCCAGGCAGGACCTCTATCCCAGGATCTGATCCTAGGTTTTCCTGCATTAAACTGGATGATATGAGTCACTACTGCCAGATGATCTGGTATAAACAGAAACTCTGGGATATGTATCTGAGATAAACAGAAACCCTGAGCCTGTCTGGAAGGGCCTTGAGTGCAGTTCCACACCACGGCCTCAAGGCTATGAGCTCCTGGGATTGGTAGGTTGGTGAGGCACCAGCACTCTTTGGCAGAGAAAGCTAAAGATCTGGTTTTAAAAACCTACAACTCCTGACTATGTAAACCAGGCATGAGCAAACTTGGGCCCTCCAGGTGTTTTGGACTTCAACTCCCACAATTCCTAACAGCCAGTCAAATCCAGCCCACTATGTCATCTTATGTGGTCCTCCAGATACTGGACTATAGCTCCTGCATTGCTCATCATTAGACATCATGACAAGAGCTGAAGGGAGTTGTGGTACAGTAACATCTGTAAGGCTGGGGTTTATTCTGTTTGTCAGGAGAGTGGGATTTTAATTTAGATGCAAGGCTTGAGGATATGATGTCTGACTTTTAAATGTTCTTTAACCTTTTCTCAACCTCAGGGTCACAAGTGCTGTTGGGTGGCAATTCCCATTATCCCCAGTCAGCAGTGCAGATAATCAAAAGTGATGGGAGTTGTTGTTTAATAACACCTGGGGACTCAAATTGGGTAAAAACTAAAGAACACCAACCACTATGTAATATAAATATATATAGTTGGCCCTCTGTCTCCACAGATTCTCCATCCATGGATTCAATGGCCCTTCAAAGGCAACTATAAAGCTGATGTGGCCCTCGATGAAAATCAGTTTGATACCCCTGGCCTTGAGTTCTTGAAAACTCTTAGGAGTAGCTACAGTGGCCATGCAGACTAGGAGATTCTGAAAGTAGTAGTATAAAAAGGAACTTTTCAAAGTTCTGTCAACTGAAAAATTGCTATGAATACCCGGAAGTTAATCCTCTTGATTTCACAGCAACAATTATGTTAGTACAATTAAGATTGATACTTTTGAGTGGTGAAATATTTAATTTGATGGTGTTTGGTTTTATATGCTTTTCCAACAGAAAACAAGAAATCAGTAGAAGCACTTTACTTAGTAAACAATATGCCTGAACTGAACTTCTGTGCAGGAAATTAGGCACATCCTTTTTTTATATAGTTGCACATAAAGTTTCAAAACATCTATGTGGACACCTGGGTGTATTATTTACACAAAGCATGTCCTCATGAAAAATAATCATAAATAATGCCATAAACAGGAAGTTATTCAATTGTATATGTGGGAGTAATTCTGTGGAGTAGTCCTTTGTGTCACAGTACAACAAACAACCAGGTGTTCATACGGATGCTCACTTTTACCAATTGGGAAGAAAAAATATGGTTAAAAATAGCTTAAAGCATTTGCCAAGATAGTGAGCTTTCACTGCCAGGTGAAAAATAAAAGCAGGCAAGCAATCTGAGTTTCCATAACTTGAAACCGCTTTGTAATCTCAGGGTTATCTGTTGTGGATTTGACATATAGAATCATCAGGGTGAGCTAAGAAATCAGAAATATTAAATAAGTATCTCATTTTATAATACTAATAGTTGTTGTAATAATAATAATATATTTTATTTGTCCCCAGCTTGCCTGACAGCTCAAGATAGGGTACAACACAGGCAAAACATATCAACATAAAAGACATACAACAAAATACATGTATGAAAACACAGAGTACAAAGATCAACATACAGGAGTAATAAAATACAAATCCAAAACTCATGCTTCAAAGTTGACTGGGCTGGCCTGCAGGCTAAGGACCTTATCACATTAACTGGGTGAACCGAGGGGCAGCAGGGCAAGTCTGTGGCCCGACGCAACACTTCCTCATGGCAATATGCCCCCCCCCCATTAAATGGAGGAAATGTCGCTGAAGCCACACGGCTCTGTGGGAAGCCTCCCGTGTTGAGAAGCAATCATCATACGACACTTCCACTCCGGTTGTGGGCGGAGACTCCACCAGAAGTCCAGCAATGTAGTGTGATGGGCAGCATGCCCACCCATCACTGAATTGACATGGAAGCATCCTAGGATATTAAAAAAGCTCCATGTGATGAGTTCAAAAAACAGGTGTTCAGCTGTGCCTTAAATTCTGACAGCTCATTTATGTATCAGAACTCTTCTAGCAGGTCATTCCACAACATTGTTTTAACTACATTTCAGGGTGCACTATTCTCCCAAAATGTCTTACAAAATTATAAAAGATATGACAATTCTCAAACTGAACATTGATTTTTTTTCTTTAAGTATCAAATGCAGGGTGCAACAAATAGCTCGTGAATGTTTTTTTAAAAACCCAGTTGTAGTGAGATGACATGGAGACAGTTCAAGGATGTGGATTCTACCATTATCTGTCAGCTGATGTGCTGTGGCATTCATCCTCTGATGCTTGTTTTAAAGCTTGTCTAGGATTATATATGATGAAAAAGAAAATAGCCTGCATGTCATTCACATATTGATGATACATAGGAATGACATCTGCCTACAGATTCATGTAGATGTTGAAAAGCATTGGTGGCAAGCTATGATCTTGTGGGACTCCAAATTTCAGTGACCAAGGGGCGGTGTGTTCTGGGATGGTCTTTCAAGGAGGGATAAGAGCTATTCTAACAATCAGCAAGGCAACTTAAGAGAATACTATAGTAAATGATATCAGAAACTAGAGAGAGGTCAAAGAAAACCTAGAGCTAAACAACATAGTCTAGCTACAGAACTTGCCTTCAAGCCATTCTATCACAAGGCCTTTCCAATGACACAGAGGTATAGATGGTCTGTAGACAATCTGGCCCTGAAATGAAACTTCAACCTGTTCTGGAAAGAGCTGCCCTACTTTTCAAAAGTTTGCAGTTTGGGATTTTTCACTGTTCCTGGATACTCAAAAAGCAGGAATTGTGAGGAACTCCATTTAGTGAACAAGTTATGCGCTTTTCTGAGTTGACCTAGCCACAGCCACCCATGTTTATGTGCCAGCTTGGCTACTTTAAATGTGCTCTTCAAGAGTGACTCAGAGCTTCAGCTGATACAACAGTTAGCAACCAAGCTACAAACTGGTGTGTAGTATCAAGATCATAGAACTGGATACAAAAAGACATTCACTGGTTGATTGCATGTTCCGAGTCCAGTTCAAGGAGTGGATTTTTACTTTTTAAGTCTTAAACAGATTGAAGACTACTTCTCTAAAAGACCACCTTTTTCATCATGAACGTGTCTAGATGTTTCAGGAGAGGTTCTCTTGCAGATATTAACGCCTGTGGAGACACTTGATGAGCACATGAAAGAAGGCTTTCTCTGTTGTTCACAGGCAGAGGGATGTCCTCTCAGTTCCTACTTTGACTACTTTGGAGAAGGCTATTGAATCACATATTTTCAAACAGCTTTAATCTCACTGATTGTGATTTCGATTATTGTGAGAATGCCAAAGATTTCATCATCTAATTTGTTTACATATGCTTTAATTACATTTGTTAGCTAACTTGAGCACTATTTTTTAGTGAAAGGGTGGCATAACATGTAATAAAAACAAAAAATACAGCATTCAAAGTGCCACATCTATTAAGCATTACTTTTCAGCATATGTTTCCTTTGGATATGTATTCTTCTCTATAATTCTCTATAATTCTTCTCTATAATTTCAACTACAGTCTGAACTCTGTGTCAATGAGTTCTCATCAATGGATTCAACAAAACTTGAAAACATTCCCTCCCGAAATTCAAAGAGCAATCCTTGATTTTACCATTTTACAACACCATAGGATATAATGGGACTTGAGCATTCATGTATGTTGGTTATCCATGGGGGTGGGGGGGGGGTCATGTCTTGGTAGAAGGGAACCAAACCCCACAGGATCCCAAAGACCCACTATATATGAAAAAATACTTATGTAATAAGAAAAGAGCATGGTTATGATATTTCCCATTATCTGCTATGTTGTTCCTGTTGTTGTGTTCCTTCAAGTCAATTCTGACATATGGTAACCCTACTTTAGTTTTTTCTTAGCATTATTTATTCTCCACTCTATTAGTCAAAGAGAATGCGAGTTGATCCAGTGGGTTTCTGGGACAGATAAAGGCAAAGGATGGATTTGAACTCTGGCCACCCACAGTTCTAGTCCAACGCTCAAACCTTTGCCATGTTGATCTAGGATTGGGTGCAAATATATACATCTGTTTCAGAATTCTATTACACTCTAAATTAGAGAGAAAATAAGACTCAAACTGGAGATATGCAGAATAAAGAATTCGAATACCCTGAGGCCCTTCCCAGCACACAACTACTATGCTACATTGTATTTTAACCACCCTGACAAGATGGTGGGGCCTTAGAATCTGCAGAGTAGACTGGGGCATTCAGAATTCTCTGCCATGGAGCTCTAGTGCCTCACCAAATCACAAATTCCAGAATTCCCCAAAACACAACCATGTAAATTAAAGTGGAATCATAGTACTTCAGCTGTGAGTGGGCCTATGGTCTGCATAGCTTGGTAGGAGGGACAAACATT